GGTAGAATTGTATGTTTGACAAGAGAAAGCAAGTTCCCTTTAATGGACAATATAATATAGATAGTTGTTTTCACTCACAGTATCATGTTCAAACAATAAATGATCATTAATTAAACAAGTTATATATAACGTAACATCAAGAGTTGAAATAAAGCTTTTCTGAAAGTTGAGTTCACTCACTTTTTTAAGGCAGCAATTGAACTTTGAAGTTTTTTAAGTTGAACCACCTTTATCATTTTTACTTTGTATAACTTCCTGCTGAGAAGGGATACGCATACAACTCAGTTATGATGCTGGCAACAACTTTACACCTCATTATTTTCTTTTGTCCAAATAATGGCACATTGTCTGTGGCTGAAACTTCATTGAAATAATAATAATAACTAAATTAATCTATTATTACAATAATGGGTGTCAGATTATAAAGTGTGTTAGTAAGGCGTCCCACCACAAGCATCTACAACAGTTTTAGTTTATGTTTTCAGTCTCTCATCTCTTCTGGAGGGATGAACAGCATTATTTCAAAAGATATTTATTTAGTGTTTTGATGTTAGTGGTGAGCTCTAGCTACAAAATCTTCCATACAGAGGTGTTCAGATGGGTTGAGCTCTGGTGACAATAAAGGCCATAGCATATATTCACAAGAGTTTTATTCATCAAACCAGTATAAAGTTTATATGGATGTATTTTTTTCTCTACTCATTTATAGTTTATATTCTTTAATTTGTCACTTGTCTTTATTTGGGTAACATTTTCAAATCTCTCGTCTGCATTCGTTTGGGCTCCACAAACTCCTGAGAAAAAGCTTAGATGTAAATGCTCTGTATTTGTATAGGACCTTTCTAGTCTTTTCAACCACTCAAAGCACTTTTACACTACATCTGCATTCACCATTCACACACTGCCTAAGTGCTTAAACAGAAACTAACATTCACACACATTCATACACTTGTGGAACAGTCACCAGAGGCTATTTACTTTTTCTGTTGCTCCTCTGTAAAAGTTGGCACCGGGATTTTGTCTTGAAAAATAGCTGTGTCTGAGCTTTCTTAATGGGGTAGGGGATGTGAGATGCCAATAACAGGTTCTCTGTGATGCTGATACCCAGGAACCTGAAACTGTTCACCTGCTCCCCCTCAGCTCCACTGATGTAGAAAATAAAAGAGCAGGACTCCGTTGCTGACTTTAGCTGTAAAGCAATCCAACAAAATTTGCTTCAAATCCTGACAAAATAAGTCATTAGTGCAATGCCTTGTCAATATTTGATTGCTACACTCTGTAATGGATTGTTTGATTTTATGAACTCGTGAGTTTGACTTAAAGTCAGAAAGTTCTGCTGAATAACAGCTTTATGATGTTCAACAGCAGGTTAGGCTGTTGTGGGAAATGAGTTATAAATGATTTCCTCCTACATGTTGCAACTTTGTAACACTAAGAGCATTTATAAAAAGGTATAGTGAGCTTGAGTAATGGAAAATACTGCGAGCTTTGTTTCAGACAAGTCTTACCAGTAGTCAGGAGGAAGTCTTATAATCACACACACTCTAACACACACATCCAACCACGTGGTCAAATACATAATGGCCCACAGATGTGTTTTCAGTCCTTTGCTCTCCGAAGAGGATATCCTGATGACTGCCTAGTGGAGCTGCCAAATCTTCACAGAAACAAAAGAAACAATGCAGAGACAAGGTGCAGTGCAGATGAGAACATAATTCACATTTAAAATAGTTTTTAAAGAATTTTCCAGACATGAAATGTAACTTGTTTCTGGTGGAGGAGCCAATTTACTGTACTTGATGTTATGTACAATTGTGGGATAACATCTGCAATCATGCTGGAACACACCTAAAGGTTAATTAAAACGTCATTCTTTAACTTTCAGTGATATCCTACATCATAGCACTCACACCAACAAAATAGCTTTTTTACCGGTCAACAGGTTTTTACTTTACCTTTCCCAGGAGGTCTTAACAATGGCTGCTTGTGTTTTGTGAGCTAAAAATTACATCATTTTTGGATTTTACAAACCTCAGTTGCAGAGATTAGCAGGAGCCAGTCCAAATGTGTGCAAAATAACGAACAGAAGAGCAGCTGTTATTGTTTGATAAGCTTACACTCTGCTGTTTTTGCAATCCTGTCTGTCAGTCTTTCACCACATGAAGAACAATACAAATTACTCAGCTACATTAGAGATATTGATAGTATTGAGTAAGTCAGCATACACAGTGATTTCATGTTTCCCACTCGCCTTTTTCCACTGACTTTATTATTTTTATTTTCCTGCCTCTAAAATTCACTCGTGTCCTGTGTAAACATACCTTAAAACTCTGCAAAAATTGAATTATGAATGAGGGTTGTACACTATTTGGAAAATGGGCTTATGCATTTTCTCTCTGAGAGTTAGAAGAGAAAATTGATATACTGTAACTTCTGTAACTCCCATATCAGAGCGTATGTAGCTGGAGCCAGACAGTTTAGCGTAAAGAGCGGAAAACTGCTAGCCTGGCTTTGCCTAAAGTGAAAAAATAAGCTTGTAACACGTCCAGCTTGGGTCGTTTTTACATTTCTGTTTTTGTACAGATTAAAAAGCCAAAAATGACGTGTTATTAATAAAGCATATTTTTTCACTTTGGAGAAACTTTGGAGACAGCCAGCCTAGTTTTTGCGTGGTTTCCAATCTTAATGCTATGCTAAGCTAACCATGCCCATAAATACATTGTGTTTAGAAGGAAAAACCTTGGTTCCCCTTCGAGGGAACGAGACACTGCGTTGGTTACGACACTATGGGAACGTTCCCATAGTGTCGTAACCGACGCAGTGTCTCGTTCCCCTTCTCGGGGAACCAGGGTTACATACGTAACCCGAGACGTTCCCTACATCTTTATTCCCAATGTTTTTTGGCTTCTTCCTTTTGCTGTTTTATACTACACAATAATTCTGGTTTACTGAAATATTGACTTTGTATGATTTATTGATAAAGCTAAAATGTAGATTTCAAATTCAAGCCCCTCTGCCATCCTTGCCATTATCAACATAAATAAATAAATAAATAATGAGGATTTGTACAGTACTTTGAATATATTCATTGTTGTGTTGTGCATTTGCCCTGTAATTCTGGAAGCTGCAGCCTGACTAAACCAAATAACAACAGGCTACTTTGTTATTAACTGTCACTGCATGGTGGGTTGTGTTTACTTTGTTTAGTGTTTGGTCAGAGGCATTGCAGTTTCCATAGACTATGGATGCATTTTGCAGATGTGCATGAGGTGACGTGTTCAAAGCAAATGATGACGGAGGAGTATGAGCAGCCTATTGTCTCACTGTCCGTTCTAACAGGAAATCTGGTTCCATGCGGAAGACTGGTGTGTCTGTGCAGGCAGGGGTACCTCAGGTTGCGTGGCAAACATACACATGCAAGCAGAACACGTGGACACACATATTCAGTCACACAAACACGTCCAAGATAAACACTATTCCATTGAACATACAAAGTACAGAACACACGCTCAGCACCCCATCCTGTATCTATCATCATGTCTACAGTATAATGATAGATCACAGAGATTCTGCACAGCTCTTGAAAACTGGACTCCTATGCAAGCCACAAAGCCAATTTATCAGCTCAGTCCTAACTCACTGAACTCAATTCAGACATAAGGCACCTGCTATCAAGCCATCAGCATGTAACCTTGAGCCTGTCTGAACACCATAAGGCCAAAGGGAACATTGATAATATACTGCATGTGTATGTACAAAATACAGCCTACTGTGTACAGATGGGTTTCTGTGCAACGTCATCACAGAGATGCACGTGCAACTAGGGGGCAGAAATAAATGTGTCTGTGGTGCGTTGTTGATTTGTTGTATAAACACATGGTGGTAAATTTGAGTTTTTAAAGATATTTGTCTTCACCTATAATGCATGGTCTTTATGTAGTGTGTATTGAGAGGATTAATACATTGTTGTTTTTTGTCTTTTCATCATAAGATTGTTGACGATGAAAAAACAAAAGCCTCATCCTTAGGTCTGATCAATTCTGGAGAGTGAAGACCTCTGACTTGGACTTCTTTCTTAAGAACTTAAATAAATTATAGACTGAGTGGATCATCCCTACTTTATTATTGTTTTTCTTATATTGGGAAAACTTAATGCAATCACTTACTTGACTGCTACTACTTAATCTTATCAGAAGCCTATAGTGGTACTGTGCAGCTCCTAATGGAAATCTATGGAGTCTAAGCAAACAAGCATGTTCTGCTAACAAAATCTTAGTTAAATAAACTTCAGTAATAATAGTACGTCCTGTGTTTAATGTGTTTGTATGTGGTAAAACTCTTACTAACAACACCTCTTTATCTGCCCACATTTTGTGAAGTAGCTCTTGAGCCAAACCAGGTGCGGCCTCCTGTACAGATTGTTTGTCTGTGAGCTGTTCAAGGTAAATGCTTCCACAGTGGGACGGATCATATGGGATGAATTAGCTGTTGCTTCTACCACCTCCCAGCTCTCTGTGCTCTCAATAACCCCTCTCCCCAATGTAATGCGCACACAGATGCTCGCCCCCTACATACTGTACAGCATTACCAATGTACAATCTCCAGATCTCTGAACCACACATCACCTTCATCAATTGCATAACTTAAACTGTCTATTTATGGAAGGTGAGTAAGCAACATTTGCAACTTTCAGTGCAACAACAAAGTCTGGTCCTCGTGTGTGTGTGTCAGCACGGGCTCAACAGTGCTGGAGGTCACAATGAAAATCATGCACACTGATGTAAAGCTGAAGGGATGTTAGCTGTGATCATACTGGGACGTTTACAAACCAGTCCTGCTTTAACATGGTTGGACTCAGCCAGTGTTAGCAGCTAGGCTATGTAGTGATCATCAAAACACATGCAAGACACGCCTTGTAGGTCGACCACCATGAATTTATACAGAAGATCAACAACGCACCACAGACACATTTATTTCCTAGGAGAAACTTAACTCACACAGTTGTTTCTTTTCAGTTTTATTTGTAAATGCATCTTGGATAGAACAAAGAAAAAATATATAATATATTCATATGTACTGAAACATTAAGCTATGTACACATTTAGGGTTGACACTAGAAATCTTCATAACCACTGATTTGTTTTAAGATCAGAAGTGTCTGTTTGTTTCCTGGATGCAGCGATGAACACTCCTGCATATTTACATACATTCATAGGATGCGGTAAAACACCTGTGTTCACACAAGCATTAAAAATTCAAAAATTGAATGAAAGGAATGATGTATAATGTTGTGTACCCCTGCTTGTTGTTGCTTTACATACATGAATTACACACGGACGGCATAGTCACACCCCTACATATTCACAGCGGGGCGCGGTACATTTAGCAAACAATGTTTGAGTCAGTTTGGGCATTAGAAAGTGTGTCATGGCCTCAAAAGGGATGTTGTGACTACATCTACAGATACATACAGAAGCCCCTCCTCCTGATAGTTCAGCACCATGGTGTGTAGTGTGTCCATTGATGTCGCCTCAACGTAACATAACTGCAGGCAGAGGTCAAAGGCTGTCGGGGTGTCTCCAGTAATAGATAAAGCAGAGTTGAGGCAGATTTTGTGTCAAGTTGTCAGCAAAATAATAATAGCAGACTGAGACTTTCAGTTCTGTGGCTATGCACTGCATGACATGGGCCATATTATAATACCTTTTTTAGCAGTCACTTTACATGTCATTAAAATATGGATAATTGAATAATTGAAGTGTTTGCCCAAACCATTTGGCTCTTCAGTAAGGATTTTGTGGTAAAATAAGGCCAGGAAAGCAAGACAAATAGAAGACCAACAAGAAGGTTCACATTACTTAGCTTAATAAAACTCGAACAAAGATCATTTAACACTGATCAGAAGGCCTGTTTAACAATTACTGTGCGCTTAACCTTTTGTTTGTGTTTCCCTTTTGCATTTCTTGTGTTGCTCTGTCATTCTCCTCCCTGTGTCGAAGCAAGGTTCACAAAGTCCAATAAAATGTGGGAGGAGTCCTGGTAGCTTATTGTGAGCTTTCCCTTACTTTGTTACATCAGTAGTTCATGTCCACATATTATAACAGGTGTGTCCTTGTCCATCAACACCAAGTCGAATAATAAAAGTATTCTTCAACCATACCGTGATACAAGGCAGCAGAAACTAAGACAAAGCTATCAGAGAAAGCTCACAGAAAAAAACCTCTGTGGACCCCAGGAAGGGTAGCTATTACTCTGGTAGTAGCTGATATCATAATTCACTTCACTCTGACTTCCTAAACATTGCATAAGGTCAGGAATGTCCGAGACATTGGCAGCTATTAGGAAGATAAAAGGCAGTTGTTTTATCCAGGTAGAATGGACACTCAAGGCTATTAGCAGAGCTGTCACAGACTGAATGAAAATAAGCTTATCTTATCTTCTGCTGAGTCGGTTGATAAAGACAGATCAAACATAAGGAGGACAACATACCAAAGCACCAACAGCAACAACAACAACCTTTAGCTACAGGATGGTAACTGTGTTGGTTTACTTTTGTACAATAAATTAGAACAATCACAGACTGCTGAAACAAAAAGCAAGGCGTGCTTCCACTCACATATTCAAACCGACTTGACAAAAGCGCAGACACGTCCGCACACACCCATACATTCACTCTCACGCCTTGCTCCGGTGGCCTAATTCTGTATGAGTGATCTCAGCATTCCCAGTGATACGAGAGATCCGAGTGGGGCATCAGATTGCTGAGCGAACTGTTCGACTACTTCGTGGAAAGCGGTGGACTTTGATGTGTTTTGACAGGTGGTCACTGCGGGCAAACTTCTTCTCACACACTGGACACTGGTAGGGCTTGACACCCGAATGGGACCGCCGGTGTCGAGACAGCTCGTCTGACCGGGAAAACCTGAAGGGATGAAGGAGAAGAGATGTTTTGTATTTGGCAAAGGCAAATATAGTCAGAGGTGTGGACTTGCGTGACATGACAAAGCTGATGACCTTAGACTCTACTTAACAAAATCTTGCAAGACAAAAAGACTTGCAACTTCACTTTGACTCAAACACTAGAACTGGACTTTAGCCATCTGACTGGAAATTACTTGATATCTTTCCCAAACCCAAACATTAAAATTGATGTCATTAAAAAGTGTGTAGCTACTCAACTTTTGTATTTCTTGACAATGGATATACTTTGAATCGATCCGACAGCAGCCAATCATTGTGCACAAGCGGGAGGGAAACCTGCACATTATCCCATCGAACATTCAAGTACTTCAAGTTTTTATCTTATACCAAAAAATGTCAACTGTGTCAGCTGCAATTAATAACATTGTGGCGGGAATGGACTTCGCCCAGCTTGTGCGACACCAGCATACCCTGGGAAAGTAATCAGCCGGACCCACTCTCGTGCTGTGGGTCACAGACAGTTTGCGAATAGTTAGTAAAGTTACTGGTTGAATTAAGAGTGGCCAACAACAGCAAGTTTGATTAAGTGATCTCTGTCCGTCATCGTCTAACTGATGTCTTGCATCAGTTAGGAACGTATTTTGACATACAGTAAGACGGTCTAATCATAATGTACTCCTTCTAATAAAAAGACTAGACTCTAGACTAACACAAGCTAACACATTCATTTACAGGGATTTTGATTATACTTTTGACTATGTCACTTTTTAAAATATATACAGTATATATTTATTATTTTGATATGTTGTGATTGAAGTTAAAGATTATCTGTTAATAGTGCCATAGATCTACTAGTCCTATTCTATTTGTTAACAATATATGTGTACAAAATTCAGTCATATCCACTCATGTATTTTATCCTCCAGATTTCTCCTGAGAGTCAAAGCTCACTTCCCCCACTCCACATTTTGGCAACAAAATGACTCCATAAATTCCACTGGAATGCAGGAAAACAGTCTCTGAAATTAACAGCTTTCTGGCGAAGATCCCCAGATACCCTTGTTAGGTTTGGTCTCCCGATTTATGATGGAGGTTGGCCAGCACGTATCAACCATACTTATTGATCATTGACCGTGATTGTTGACTTGGCTTTTTGTTTATTCATGCTTCACATGCTCACAGAAGTACTACTCATAAAATGCACTGAAATGACTTCACCAATACCAAATCTCACACCAAACTAAACAGAAAAGTTGGCCGCCCTGTCGAAGTGTGAAATCATTTCAAATGCTGTTAAATTATATAATAAAGATCACATGATCACTTGTTTAGGACTTGAAACACAGAGTTTAGGACGTGAACTTGAGACACTAAATAGTCAAAACTTGAAACTTGCCTTAGACTTGCACCTCTGGATAAAATGAATGATAAGAGAAGACTTACACGAACCAATTACACATTCATAAAAATGCTGTTCTGTTCATGTGGAAACTATTATTCTTGGCTCCTCCCTACAAACATGAATCCTAAAATATTCATGTTTAGATCCTTATGTGTGTTCAAGGATATGTCGCAGCGCTGAAGTTGCTGAAAGTGCCTTTTTGATGCAATCAGAGACAAACCCCTTGATCTTCCCGCAGCCCTTTCGCTGTGTTTGTATTTAGTTCTGGCAACTCCCTGTTTTTCCCAACATGTACACAACAGCTGCCGACGCCAGAAATTTTCTCACCAAGCCCCACAGTGTAATTATCTGTTATGAACAAGAATGCTTCACATGTTGATGCTACAACTCATTTGCCTGCAACTCATTTGGACAAGCAAAACATCACGGTGGGGCTAGCATGCGAGGCATACACTACTTGGCTGGAACCACAGGGATGACAGCTCTGGGGCTTCTTCCCACCAACCTAGTTCTCTGAAACTGACTGTCCCCGGCAAAACTCTGCATCCCAGATGTTGCTCTGCTGACCTGACAAGATGATGAATCGATACAATTGTACCCTGTTATTAAGCAACACATAAGGAGCTGCAGTAAAAACCCGTTGTACTCTAGGGCATATGTCCATACAACAAAAATACAGCTAAAGCAATGTTATTGCATTAATATAATTGATTAAGTTACATGCAATATCTGACAGCAGTTTACCCAGGGAGACACTATCAATAAAACCATTCCAATAGCAGCAAAACCACATACCCCTCACGTGCTAGTAAAAACTGAAACAAGCATATTTAGTCTACACAGTGACTTGGGTAGATGGACATGACGATTTTATGTATTTGGATTAAGAAAACATCCAAAAAGGCTACACGCAGTCTGATTTTCAGTAGACAACAGTGTTGGTTTGGGTTGGCAGATCTGTAGGAGCAGGCGGGAATGAAAAGCAGTCAATCCTGTACAGGCTTCTTCTTCTGAACCCCCACCCCCCCAGGGAGTCCCCAGCTTCATTCCTCCAACACACAGCCTGAAAGAGTTGAGTAACAGCCTAGGCTTGACAATATCATGCTTTCTATCAAGCAAAAGAATGCACCAGAGAAATCCATGGTGGACAGTTATAACATTTAGGCATTTTAAATCCACATGCAAAGTAAAAGTGCTGAGTGAATGGCTCCATGCTAACGCTGAAGCACAAACTATGCTGAATCTAAAGCTAACTGATCAGTCTGTCATGTTGTTAGCAAAACTGACACAAGGTATGAAATGATTGTTCTCCACTAGCAGGGACTACCTTCCCTGTCCCCATAGGATCCCTGCATGAAGGGAGTCAGTTTAAAGCTCTAAAGCAAGTGGGCCCTTATGGGATACAATAAAGCAATGACAGTACTTAAGACCTCTCACAAATGCCTTTATTTGTTCTGTGTAGTGCCATATAGGAAGAGATGCATTATATGTGACTACAGACAAATCTTGGTAGATGGGAAGATTTTCCTGACTTGAAACTGGTAATGGTGTTTATAATAAACAGAAGTGAAAAATACAATGTTTTTACAGTTCCTTCTCATTCATGTTCTCTCTGTGTGATCTACAAGCACCTGGAAACACAAACTCTGTCTGTTTAACGCTGTCTAACCTAATGTCATCAAAAGTTCAACATGGACTGCATTTGTGAATCTGAGCAGCTTTCTCTGGGTGTCACTAAAAAAACTTTCCCAAGGTACCATGAAATAACTTTGCAAACCTTCTATCGGCCTATTTGATCTATCCCTTCACCAGAACACTCACTGAGTTGATAAAGTGGACACAGTGACTGAGAGCAACAGCTTTTCTCTGCCTAATGAGTCATGTGATGAATCTGACCAGTTACCGGATCAAATATTCACATTATCCCTGTGATCATCCAGACGAAGGTTAGTTTTAAAGTAACCAACAGTTTAATGTTTAACTAACAGTTTGCTCAACTCTGAAATGCTTTTTTTTGTGTGTGTGCACAATCGATGGAAACTTAGGCTGGAAGTAGCAAACTAGAGATAACTGTGAGGACTGCTACTTGGGTCAAATAGTTAGCTAGAAAATTAGGTACACTGGCTAAGTTATTGAGCCTAGGCTACTAAAATGAACAACAAAACTCAACATGAGCTGTTTGGAACTGTAACTAAAAATCAATGGAAAGTCATGGAAACCTACACGTTTGACCTTTTTCGGGTCTGGATCTATTTTCTGCTCTGATCTCAACAAGTCTGGGCAAATTACTGAGTAGGCACCGATCTGAGGCAGTGGTTAATGATGTCATCACATCGACTTCTCATGATTTAATTTACAGAGTTTTTAAACTACACAAAATACAAAAGCTGAAGCCATTTTCATTAACCCTATAAAATACAAATGACAAAATCCTATTTTGTAATTCAAATCCATATTTTAAATACATGCATCATGAATACTTCCCCTCCCTGACCACAAGTTATCACACGTAGCTTTAAAACTATGATTACTTCATGGAAGATGAGTGAATAAGGATTTCAGGAAGAGCCCATCCCCATCGGCCCCCATTTGACACTGTGGACTCCTTCCGCTTCCTGGGCACCATCATCACCCCCGACCTCAAGTCGGAGCTGAACATCAGCTCCATCCAAGGGGGTAAGCCAGAGCGGGGTGGCTTCACCCAGTAATATACTGTCTATGACTCCATCACCAAGAGGGCCCAGCAGAGGATGTACTTCCTGGGGCAGCTGAAGACGTTCAAGATGCCAAAGACAGTGATGGTGCACTTCTACAATACTCGCACGTATTCCTTATTCTTCATACTTACTGTCTACCTTACATTTTGCTCATGGCATTGTCAATATTTTGCACATTCCTGTATTGTACATACTTTTTATAATATGGTTTCATATTTTTGTAGTACTTGTTTTTTTATCTTTTTTTCCTCACTTACTATGTTTATTTTTATGCACCAAAATACCAAAGCAAATTCCTTGTATATGAAAACCTACTTGGCAATAAACTCGTTTCTGATTCTGATGAGTCCTCACTAAACGATGCCTCCAAAAAGATGTGGCTGTATCAGCTGAGCTCAAGGCTGGATGACCAACAGGGGAAATAGGTTAACTGCAGCATTTGATTTTAGTTTACTGCACGTATTATGCACATTCTAAAATAAACGTGTTGGGGGCAGAGGTCAATTAGGGCCCAACAGCTAATTTCTGCCTAAATCTAGTCATGGTTGTGCTAATTCTAAGTTCTCACAATATTATGATCTAAGCTGACCAGCAAAACAATCTAATAAAATCTGAAATGAGACATTTTAGGAGATTAATCTATCTGGAAGAAACTCTTTGCACTGTAAATTTTTGTGTCTGGACTGACATAGCTACATTTGATTATACAGTTCCACACTCTTTCCATCCAGCCATTCCCTTTCTGTTCCTCCCAGCCTATGAAGAACCTTGACTGATCCCTCTCTTCCCTTTCATGCAGCATGGCAGCCTAAACGTTCCTAGCCCACAGTCATGGTAACTATTCAACACTTTGTCTTTGTTCACTCCACTTCCTCACGGCTGCGCCCTTCAAATGATTGTGTGCAAAACTGAAACAGGCCTTTTTCTCCCCTTCTATCTACCCTTCTCCACCCCCTATTTCACCACCCCCAGCATTTTTTCTCCTGTCTTGTCTTAAAAAGAAATGTGTGTGTATATATATATATATATATATATATATATACACACACACACACACACACATATACATATATATATATATATATATATATATATATATATATACATATATATATATATATATATATATATATATATATATATATATATATATATACATATACATACATATATATATATATATATATATATATATATATATATATATATATATATATATATACATATGGAGGTAAGGAGCAGAGAGGAGGTCTTCTCTGCTCCTTACTCCATTTGCCTGCTTCTCTCACATTTTCCCAATTTTCTTCCTTTGGTAGGCCCCCTTCGTTTACCCCATCACATGCAGTGTGTTACACACACACACTTCCACTTCCATCCAAACTACATTCTGCCTTTTGTGTACAGACAAGAGCTCTTTGTTAGTTGAAACACACAGCCTGGATTACAACTGCACAAATTTCTGCAGCCCTCCTCATGTATTAGGACACCCACAGCATAACAAGGACAGTACATGATTGGTGGCTGGTAGCCAGGTTGGTACTATAGTCAAATGGACCAACGCAAAGCTTTTAAGGGATATTACTGATCATTCAGTACCTGCATGCAGTAGGAGGGTTTATATATGATTGAATGTTTAAAAGAAGAAGCTCCTCCAAGACTTCTCTCTACAAGCTGTGGCATGTAGAAGCCAAATTACATAACAGCTCGCTGGCTGGGATAGTTTTGGACAAACGTGTTCATGCACATGTAAATGTAAGCATACCATATGCATGGCTCAATGCACACTTGCAAGGCACATGAAAAACACACACCATATGTGTATGTGTGGAGTGTTTAGAGCAGTGGCCCCCCAAAGGTCTAGTATTTGGGTTCATATTTCTCCTTATTCATTAAGTAATGGGTTACACACTGGCTAACATGCATTCAATTTAACTTTATACAATACATATCCGACAATTCTGAAGTACTGTTCCCACAGTGAAGTGCCATTTTAAAGTCTTTGTTTATTGATTAATCATCATTTTTATCATTAATTTGGTAAAGCAAATGGCTAACTGCTACAGCACCCTTGAGCTTCAGCTGCTGTTGCTATGCGGAAGACCGCTAGCTAAAGATTTTATTAGCTTCTGGATCTTTAGCTTCAGTCCACTATTAGCAGTGCATGTAGCTGTGTTTTAATCGTGACGATTTAGACATATGTGATTTCTCTCCACATTTAGATGTACAATAATGATAACAAAGATGGTGCCATGGATGACTACATATGCCAAAAAAATTACTTTTACTTTGGAATTCCCTACTTCCCCTACCTCTATTGCAACAAAATGTTGCAATTAGGGCTTAAAAACCAACATTATTAAATAGAAATAGAAATAGCAGTTGCAACTATATTGGGCTTACTTAATAACCAAGTTAATAACCAGGTGGATGCTACAGAACAGGGTTATAACAGTCAGCAGCAGAAAACAAATTTTCATTCAAAGGTTTTTTACCCATAGCTCAATATCCAGTCAGTGGACCTATATGCCTTATCAATAGGTTTCTTTGGGGAAAAACAGTCACTCAGTGAGGCTGTCACATTTAGCTACTCTGAGGACCCACTACTTAAAAACCACTAGTTAAAGAGAAGATGGCTGAGGAAGTCACACGTTGCACTAATTATAACACAGCGTCAGTCTCATCTGGCTGACCTAATGTCCTCAGGACAGCTTGACACATGCTCACATAAACACAAACACTTTCAGATTGATGGATGTAAAAAGATGCCTCACTTTAATGAACAAAGAAATTGCCTTACTGATGAAGACATTCGAGTTCTGTCTCTGCCTTTCTCCATTACACACAGCAGTTCCCAAATTACATCTTGCTTGTTTTATACTTAGCGCACACACACACACACACACACACACACGCACACACACGCACACATAGTCATATTGCCCCAGCAACTGCACAGCTGTTGAGTCTCAACAGGAGGTGTCCATGTTGTGCCCATGTGACTGCAGTCCACATGCTCTGTCCCAGATTTAGTTTACATCCACAAAAAAAGACACCTCTGCTATTCTTGAATATCCCAGATAGCTCATTGCCTGACAAGAAGTGTGATTGCACAAGCAAACCCGTCTATACTGCCTCTGCCTCACATCGTTCCAATTAACACTTGGGAGGCTGCATGACATCTGTTAAGAGCTTTCCAGCTCCAGGGCTTAGAAAAAAGAAAACAGAATGAGTGTTTACTCAGCTTTCTATTAAAGATCCTTGAGTAACTGTGAGCGCCCTGTCTCTTTGCTGAAGTATACTGCTGGCATTCCACAAACAGAAACCCGGTAAAGCCTCACTTCCATGATAATGAACTCTATTACAAATTACATTCATGTTGTAGAATTGTTTCTCTCATTTTTAGTTGCTTGGAGGTTTGGGAGAGTCTGGTGGGTCTGGCTCTCAAGACCCGTTAAGTCCCCTCACCAGTGCTAACAGATGACCCTCAAAGCAACAGGTCAGTTGACGTGTCAGTTAAAATCTGAACCACACTTGCTTCTATTGAGCAACATGACACCATGCACAGCTTCTAAACAGGCCACACTAACAAATGGGGTTAAGCTCTTTTAAATCATGCAGACAAATGCTCGGGTCTGCTGTTATTGCTCAGTCCTGCAAATAAACAAACCTTTAAACAGGCTTTATCCAGCCAGTCATAAATATGAATCCATCTCTGAGTGTAATGTGGTAAAATAACAAAGGCGTTACCATAAAAAGCCACAGTGTTCCATTATAGTAATTTTGAATGGGCAGAGATTCTGTGAATGGTGTAGCCTGTATGTTTAAATATACGTAGACAAACTTCATTCAGTCAGTTCACACTTCTCTCACCAGTACCCACCTCCATCCACAGCCCTGCCAGTTGCAGGCGAAAGGCTTCTCTCCCGTGTGCCTCCTCAGGTGGGCCTTCAGGTGACTGCTCTTGGTGTACATCTTGGTGCAGCCAGGAAAAGTGCATTTGTGCATTTTGATAAGATCTGCCACCGGGTTCTTCTGGAACTTTTGACTTCCAACAAGAATCCCGGATCCCTGGCTGGCTGAGCTGTCCCCGATCCCAAGAGGCTTGGCTGCAATTGGGACAGGAGCGATGCGCACAAACTTGGAGGAGACATTAAGGCTGGGTGAGGGCAGGATGTGAGGCACCAGAGCAAAGGTCTGACCCTGGATGTTGACCAGTAGCTGCGCAATTTTAATGTCTGAGGGTGGGGCAGGCTGTGGGGGCTGGGCTACTGGGGTAAGAGGAGCTACTGTGGGCTCCTGCTTTATCTGAAGGGGCTGAATCTGTAGGATGATCCCACTACTGTTTGTGCCACTATCTGCTGATTCCTTCTTGGCCCCTGTGCTGGATTCATGTGTGGGGTTAGCTGATGTAGTTTTGGTCTCACTGGAGGCAGCAGTGGCCAGGCCAGCAGTGCTAGCGGTGGGGACAGTTTGGTCTGAATACTTGGCCTCTGGCTCTAGCTTAGGCTCAGGGGAGGACTCCCTGTCCCACTCCAGGCCAACTTCTAGACCAAGAGCCTCCTCCAGTCCCACTCCCAACCCGAGGCAACTCTCTCGGATCTCCTGCTTCATCGTTACCACCTCCATATTCTCCTCCAGGAATTCTTCGATCTCTTCCAGTGTGGGCTGGAAGGACCCTCCAAGTTGTTCCTCTGTATCCACATTAGACCAGGAGAGGAAATCAAAATTTTCGGCCTTTATGGGCTCACGTTTGGAGGGCTCATCCCTTCGTGAGTCCCAGAGGAAAGTGGATAATGGTACAGGTGCCACAGACCCTACTGGTACACTGTTGGCACCTCCTAAAGAGGCCTGGGACAGCAGGTGATCCAGGATGCTGTCCTGGCTCTCAGCACTAGAGTTGCTGCCATAGCTGGAGCTGAGCACCTGGGAGTCTGGGCTAGAACAGGAACGAGGGCTCGAAGACTCGCTCAAGTCGTCCTCCGAAAATGGCGACGGCATCACCTGGTAGGAGCCCAGGTCTGTCACCATTTCTGACAGCCGGTAGGCGGGTGGAGACCCACTGTAAGGAAGAAATGTCCACTCGCTAACTGGGGAGTTATCTACCATCCCTGGATAGTGCCAAACTGCTGTCTCCTTGTTGAACTCGGGAGTTTGTGTTAAGGTTTATTAGAGAATTATTCCTTGTAATTCTGGGAAAGTTAGGCCAAACAAACCCAGGTCACCAAGGCCACACTTTCCACTTCGGTGAGATAGTAAAACACCTGGTGTTCTCTCTCAGGGTGGAAAAAGTAAGCGTCAGGGAAACACTCTTACAATCCAAGGTCCAGCCAGGATCCAGTATGTCTAAATAGAAATAAACAGAGTGAGAAGTCTGTTAATCTTAAACCCATACTGCTCAAATTCAAAAGGACAGAGCCTGACTTTAAAGAAAGAGTTTTAGGTGGTTATATATCTACAGAATGAAAGCTGCCATATCACCTAATGCATCTGCTAGTCTTTATCAGATGCTAGTTACAGTCTGTAAAAAAATGCCGCAGTAGTATTTTAGACTTGCAAGTTGATAGTTGAATGCAGCTGTCATTTAAGAGCAGCCACGTCACAAAAGACCCAAGGAATGCTTACTTGTGACCCCTCGTCAGAGAGCTATGAACAGTTACAATCAAGGAATGATGTTCCCTTCTCACAACTTCATTTTAATCATTTGTGAAGTCCTGAAAACTGTATTGTAATTTAAAAAAAAAAGGAAATAATTAAAAAAAAATAAGCATCATTTTGAGCGTAAAGGTTTATTCTTTACCTTGAAGATAGTGGTCTGACAAAAATGTCATCTGCTGAAAAAGGCCATGAGATGCAGCTGAAAGCTCCAATATAAATCTAGCAGTGAGTTAAGAAATACTTGTCAAGCTTACTTTTGTGTGTTGTGTCTTCTTATTTTGTATCTTAATTATATTGTGACCACTCAGAATTTTCCATCCATTTCACTTCACAAAAACACATTGGTATATCTTGTAAAACGTGCGGTAAACATGTGCATTACTTTCTCACCATACATGACCTTATAGTACTTTTTATTTTTCTGAGCTAAAACACAGGTTTTTTTCAGTTTCTGGTAAGTCGAGCTGTTGATTACTCAATAAGTCGCTTGAAAAGCAACAGTTTTGAGAATCTTGTGCTGTGGGATACCACGATGGACATTTTTCATAGTTTCTGATGTTTTAATATCCAAGCCATTAATCAAGAAACTATTTAAAAGATTACTTGATGATGAAAACAATTGCTAGCTGCAGCCCTAACAACAAGGTTTTTTGTGAGGACATTTATTTGTATGTGTATTTCCTTTGCCTTGTGATTTTCAATCTCTGTAGTGTCTTTAGTTTACTTTCTTATATGCTCAGGTGTTATTCTAGTATTAACATGTTTAAAACAGATATCCTGGTATTACATTAATATTAGCCTATTTGCAATGTTTTTATTTATTGTTTTTCGACATGTTTTTATTCATGCTGTGCTGTTTTCTGAAATTGCTTGTGCCACTGTAGTTATTCTTCAATAACCTTATCACTTGTTATGGTGGCCTATTGAAGTACCAGGCTAAGAGTTTATGACTCACAAATTAGTGTATAGTTGCTTTTCATGCAGCATAACAACAATGTAAGTATACGGGTCCAATGTATCACTTTTGTTTTATAAAGTCCTGTAGACTTCACAAATAGTTTTTATGGGAACAGGAGCGTCGGTTATGCACCCCCTACAACCACATGCCTCTATCCGCCCTCCCTTTCCAGGGGCCCCTGCATGGCCAGAGTGACCGAGAGTAAACCCGGCCAGGAAAAAAAAAGTCAACATTATTATCAGAAAACACCGCATGTGGCGGCCGGGAGCAGTGTGTGCTGCGTAAATCACCTGTAGTGTTTGCTTGAAAATTAAAGAGCAGTAAATCAGTCACATCGTTGCCTCTGAAGTTGGAAAGATGACGATACATTTTTTTAAGTTCATATAGGAAACCTTGGACATCATTTCTTATGACATAGCCTACATTCTTATACAGCCGTGGCCTTACATTTGTAATAATTAAAACAAAATTGTTGTTTTAATTTGCATAATAATAACAATTAGGCTACATTTACAACTATTTTACATTTTACAACTATTATCTGTTCAACACCATCAGATTTTGCAGGCAGCATGGTTCGGGGGACTTACAGGCTTTCCCGTCACATGCGCAGCTGAAAACAGAGACCAAAAAACTCGTTCAAAATTCATTCATTTACATTCCGTTGTTAAACTGCGGCAGAGCAAAATCCGAGCCCCATAATAGTCCACAATATAGGTCTGTGTGCTTTTTCTTCCTGGCCGGTCTCGGTGCATAACGGCCAATCTCGGTGCATAACGCATGAGTAGGCGCGCGTCTCCCCTCTCAACGTAAACATGTTTTCGTCCAGCCTGCTGCAGCATATGGCACCGAGCAGATACATGCGCACCCTGCAGCCCTGAACCCACCATTACATAAAAATAACTTCTAATCTTACCTCGTTCTCTCAAAGAAAGTGTATTCCCAATGCAAAAGGCGCGGGGAGTATTATTTTTATCCGTTGCATCCGACGGGGCAGTCTATTGCCAGAGCAGGATTTGCCCTTGAGACTCGCCATGCAGCAGCAGCAGCAGCAGCAGCTGTAGCGTTCAGACTGAACTGAGCGCTTGCTTGAGTTGTACTATATGACCGTCACATGACTGTCCGTGTGCGTTACAGGGTTACTGTAGTGGGAAATAAGAGGCTGCTCTTGAAGGCTCGTCCCCGCTCTGCAGCCTCATTGGTCGGTTGTGGTGGGATGGAGGCGGGTCGTCTGGTCTGTCTGGAGGATTGCTGCGTGGAACAACATGTGGGACGCCTCGGCGAAGGAAGGAAGCTGATTCAGTTTTAACCTGTTATCATGATAAATGACAGTCACACGGGATGTAATATAAGTGGGTCAGCTGGATTAACGGATGTGGAGGGCAGTTAGAGGTCTTTTTAAAAACCTTAACAATCCCGGTTTGTATAACACAAAGTAGGCTATGTTGTACCTTTTAATGCATTATTTTTTCATTTATCTGACTGATTTAAGCAGACTTGTTTACAAGCACTTTGAGGAAAGTCAGTTTTATTTATTTGCATCTCCCCAAGACTTGTAAACAGAGGTTGATGTAGTATAAGTTTATTGAAAAGGATAAACCCCTTGAGATGAACCATCTCTTTTCAAGGGGGTCCTAATATGCAATAGCCTACAATACAGAACAAGGGACAAATCAAACACATTACAATAATAAGTGAAACAATACCACTAACAACACACTACAACAAAGACAACAACATGTGTTTAATCAATGGAATTTCCTTTTAATGCATGGACTCAATAATTCAATATTCAAGGTGTGTGGTTGCATGTGAATAACCTGCTTTTAAACTAGAGACTTCAGAGCAAACCACTCAACATCTTTTTATTTTATTTGTCAGTCCGTCTAGTTGCACTTGTCAGTGCTCTCTGGTGGAAAAACTGTGTAATACTATTTCTTATGTAACTCAAACGTTTGAGAAATCATTCTCAAAATAAAATCCATAACCTTTCTGGTGCTTTTCATCATATCACATGATCTTCATCAGCAGGTGGGGTTTGCCCAGTTCTCATGGATTGCAGATGTTCACATTTCCATATTTCAGCAGCAATCATTTGAGTATACAATTATATTAATTATTACAATATATTTTAATATATTCAAATCAATTATAATATTCCATGACAACTGGGCGACTACTGCTTCTGTCCCAGCATGATTGTGACTGTCAGCGGTAAGTGTGGGTCTAAAACAAGAGATTTGTGCATCTCTGCTGGTCTTCTCTGTCCAGAAGCCTCGCTCCTTTGCTCTGGCCAAGCCTGCAGAGGAAAACTCAAGCCCAGTCACACAACCTTTCAAATACACTGGTCAACATTGATTTCACAGAACAAACACTGGTCTTTTAAGGGACTTACGCGGAAAGGAGAGGTTTTAATCTCTTCCACTTTTAGCCGCTAGTGGTGGATGTGTGTGTCTGATCACACTGCCTTGAAGCTGCTGTTGCTCATCTCTTGTCTACCTATGCTCTCTCTGCTCAGTCTTTTGTCTCTTGATCACCAAAAAAATCTGTACGCCTGGAACAGAAAAATAAATCCTTCCTCTGGGACCAACCGATTGGTCCCAACTTCTCCTCTGATAGGCCACCTGAATTGTCTATCCAACTCCGCCACAGGTGGCTCTCATTAACACTAATTTGGGCACCAGGGGCCTGTACCACGAAGCAAGTTCTACATACCCAAGATACACTATATTGCCAAAAGTTTTGGGCACCCCTCCAAATCATTGAATTCAGGTCTTTCAATCACTTCCATGGCCATAGGTGTATAAAATCAAGCACCTAAGCATGCAGACTGCTTCTACAAATTTTTGTCGCTTTCAGGAGCTCAGTGAATTCAAGTGTGGTGCTGTGCAAAAGTCCATTCGTGAAATTTCCTCACATATTATAAAAAATGGCCCAATGTCTATCTCTCTGTTCTCTCTCCTCATCTGCTATTTCGCTGTCCATGTTACTGTCTAAGAAGCTGGCAATTAGGAAAACTCAGCCATATTTTCCTGTTCCTGTTCCTTGTATGTACAGAGGGTGCTGGGTTACCTCAGCTGGACTTGGCAGACACATACAGTATGTCTTGTCAACATGTCAAATGGCTTTGATCTCAATACTTTCCTACACTGTCAGTGGCACTCAGCCCCGAGCCCATTGGTTCCTACTGAACATGTAAATCTTTAAAAAAAGAAACGGTCACAAATGGTTTCATTATCAGAGTAAAACTTGGTAATTTCCATAAACAGCAGGGTGGTGCTGCTTTAACAACCTCTACTCAAATAGCTTTAAATAGTGTATTTTTTTGGGGCGACATTTGGTACTCTAGTGAGTATTTAAGGCAGCATGTTGTTGTTTGAGGGATTGAGTGTTTTTTCATGGTGATGAAGGAACATGTCATGCCAGTGAAGTTGTGGTTGGTTGACTATCATTTCATATTTATTTGACAATAACAGTGTTGCTCTATGGCACATCCTCCTATAGTTATCTCTTGTATTCCCCCTATGACCCCACAGTGTATCCAGTGAAGTATAAAATAAAGTTTTTGGCCAGGCTTTGGGGCCTGTACAACATGCATTACAATAAATTGCTGTTATTAGGCCTACCATGTTGTGTGACAGGCAGAGCAGCATGTCTGTCTGATCCCACTTGACTTAATCTAGCCATCAAACAGCTGAAGTCAAAAGCCCCGAGTGTGCCTGCAGGGTGGCTCTACCTGCCTGGACTACAGATTACAGGCTCTGTCTGCAGTGATAGGACCACTGCTCAATTGAGGATTAGTCGCGCACCTTTGCCCTACTTCATTCTCATGGTTTCCGTCTCCCCGGGGAAGAGTACAGGCCCTAATATTTAGATGGTAGATGTTGAAATCTGGTTACTCTTTGCCTCCAGATCTGCTTTGAGTCTGAGGAGGACACATTACAAGTGGAGAAGCTTTCTGAATGTAAATAAGCAAGATGATTTATTGCAACTAGACGCAGCATGTGAGATTTCATGACAGAAGATTTGATACCATTATTGTATATTCAGCCATTGATGGCACATATAGAAGAATATAGACCCTCTTCCCAAAAAATATCGAGACCCTTTCCAGTTTTAGCCTCACTGTTTTTTCTGATTTGCCATTGTCAATCTTTCCACGTACCCCTTGCTACTTGCAGAAGGATCCCATGGGTTACACATACCCCTGGTTGGGGAACACTGACCTAATGTTTAATGCACTGGCTTGAAAATGAAGGAAGAAAAGGCACAAATTAAAAGAAGTTACGTTTTGTTAGGTATTAGTCAAACAGGAAAAATATCTTTGGAGGAGAAAGTGATGGGTCAAAGTAAAATAAATCAGATCCCTCACACTGTCAACACTAAATTAATAATGTGAAATGAATACAATCTGGTAAAATGAATAGCGACTGTAGGTTTTTGTCCAGCAAACTTCATGACTCTGTTATTGTCCTTTGGTGGTTATATAATGCTCATTTTCAGGTTCATCATTTTATTAAAGGGTTGTACCAGAACAGGTTTACATGGTTTCATTTTTCGCACATTGTTGCAGCTCCTCTTTTCACCCTGTGTGTTGAACACTCCGTTTTAGCTACGGAGTGATGCATCTCACTTCTACAAGATATTTGTTAGGAGTTGCACATGCACAGTAGCTAGTTAAGGACCACTAGCCAATCAGAATATTTTATTTTAATTATATGTTGTGCGTGTAGCATGAAGGAACTACAGATTTTGTTTTGTTATGCAGCTTTGTGCTGTATAATGACTTATAAACAACCTTGTACCTTGTACCTTGTAAATATGTATAGACTTGCACCTGATATGTATGGAAGACATAGCTGCCTATAAACATGGTACAAGGTACAAGTTAAATTTATTTGTCATTTTACAGCAGGGCTGTATAATGAGATAAAGTGTGTACCTTTATACCACTCACAAAGAGCAAACATTATATGCAAAAAATTATATATATTTTAAATTATACAGATATAAACAATTTGCATGGTGCAGTGCTGAGGATAAATTTAATAGTCTCAGTCTGGCTGAAGTCCAGTGGTACGACAGTGGATACTTCTGTTTCTCTTGCTAGACAGCCTGCTCCACCTCAGCACCACTGATGTAGACAGGAGTTTAGGTCTTTGTCTATTTTTTCCTAAAGCAGGAAATGAGCTCCTTAGCTTTGCTGATGTTGAGCAGTAGGTTGTTCTCTGAGCACCACTCTACAAGATTATGAATTTCCTCCCGATATGAAGTGTCATCGTTGTTTGAAATCCGGCCGATGATGGTGGTGTCATCCGCAAACTTCACAACAGAGTTCTCTCCATGTCGGGGATGCAGTTGTGGATGTACAGTGTGAACAGGTGGGGGTGAGCACCCAGCCCTGGGGGGCTCTGGTGTTCAACACTACAGTGGAGGAGACTAGAGTGGAGACACTTGAATGTGTCCAATCCGAACTGACTGGGGCCTGTTTGTGAGGAGGTTCAGTATCCAGCTGCAGAGTGTTGTATTTAAACCCAGAGTGCTGAGTTTGCTGATCAGCTTCATGGGGAGATTGTGTTGAATGCTGAGCTGAAATCCACAAACAGCTTTCTGATGTAGGTGTTGTTTTTCTCAAGGTGTGTGAGGACTGAGTGGAGGGCAGTGGAGATGGCGTCCTCTGTGGATCTGCTGTTTCTGAAAGCAAACTGATGAGTCCAGGCTGGCTGGGATGTTGTGCTGAAGAACCAGTTTCTCATCATTCTAATTTTAAGGGTGCTGATGGTCGCTGACTTTACATACATCAATATTCACACCATAGTTACATTTTGCATACAAAAAATATGGGTTCATCACTCTATCACTTTTTAAAAAAACTAAAATCAATCAAAATCTGTGTCCAGGAAACCACTTTCACAAAACATTTAGTAAGCTTTGTGCAAGGGAATTATGTTAATAATAATGTTTATTGTATGTGATATGTTACAATGATGTCAACCTACTGTATGTATGATGTTGCCAAAACATGTGAACTGATTCTGAGTGGTACAATGCTGTGCTGAAAACAAATTCTGCTGAGCATGGTCACGTAGTCATTATTAAAGTAAAGCAAATTGCACTGCACTTCTTAATTGTCTCTGAAATACCACCATTAACCTTTCCTCCCACTTCACGGCAGCTCACCTATACATCAAACAGGTGCATATGAGAAAATAAACTGTGTACCTCAGAAAATGCTGCTTCAGTGTAAAGCCTTGTCATGATTAATGCACCATCACAATATAGAATCCAGTACCAGGATCTAATATCTACACATAAAAACGTGACTGTATTAGTCGTGTCAACCTCTGGCCTCTTTAAGCACTTGCACAGACTTTTCAGTGTTGCAGCAATTCCTGCTGGTCTCCAACAGAGGTTAATAAAGGGCATGGGTTACTCAGTACTTCTGTAAGATACAGTAGGTCTCTGTAGCAATGCAACATACTATATGATGTAATTTACTGAAGTGCAGTGCCAAGTTCATATGCTTATCTAAAACTGCAAACATTGGACATTTTGCCATAGGCCAAAGATTTTTCTCTGGTCAGATGAGAGAGGGGATGAGTATTGCCAGGCAGAGAAAGATCTCGCTTTGTCAATACATCCATCACAGATAAAAAGTTGGAAACCAGCCATTTAGACTGAGCTGTGTGGAAATACAGGTCTAACTTCTGAACCAGGAAACGGCTTTTGATGAAAACTCACAACTTTTCATCATCCATGCTTTAAGACTGCGGAGTGAAAATTTGAAATCAGTCGGATTCATTCTGTAGGAAAAGTTTGTTCAAGTACAGATTGTGTAAAAGGCAAAATGCCTGACTTCCTGTTGACTTTAGGTTATGGTAGCAAGAGGCTTTTTTGTGCGTCTTGGGATAATACATGTGCCACAAAAGTTTTGTGCATCTCGGTCAAACAGGGAGTGGGGGTTGCATCGTTAAAGAGTAACTTTCTGCTGCCAGTAGGTGGCGCTATGAGTATGAGTGAATAATGGCCTGTAGATTTGTTCAGGGTCTGACTCTTAGGGGGCTTTCACAGCTGAAAGTCGGCACCAAGGTCCGAACCAAAATTCATGTTTTGATACATTTGGTTAGTTTTTGTTTGGTTTCACACTGCAATTCTGCGAACGCACAAAAGGACTTTACATGACACACTTGTCCGGTCGTCCTGTCGTCATCATCTATGTGGGCTGCGTCTTCCTATTCTTGACATTGATTGGTTTATTAAACAGCTCAGTGGGAAGCTTTGACAAGAATGAACATATATAACATATTTGCCACTATATTGTTATTATTATGGCATTACTACCTGCAGCACCAACTATACTGAAGGCTAGTCACAATTAAACAAACATTATAAAGTCGCCGACAAGACAGAAGGAGAAGACCCCAAGCAATCCTTCTGCACCTCCGTTTGAGGAGAGAACAAAGAGATGGGTGGCAGTGTGTTTCTATAATGGCCCTCTGTTTGAAGAGATGAGCTGTCATGTGAGATTTACAATTGTGTCTTTATTTC